GCCATCCGGGTAGGAGGCTACAGAGGCAGAGCGTTGTATAGGGCACCCAGGTTGCAGGGTGGGACTGACACAGCTACCCATTACTCTGGATTGTACCCTGGGTATGTCACAGTGTTACGAATTACACCTTGTAGGACACGCACACCAATGCTACGAATTACACCTGATAGGACACGCACACAACTGCTGCGAATTACACCTGGTAGGACACGCACACCAATGCTGCAAGTTATACCTGATAGGACACGCACAGTTCGAATCTAGGCTGAGGCACATAAACAAAGTCCACAACTGCAGAGTTCCCAAAAAACACTAAGTTTATTACGCTCGAGCGTGGTGCCCCCCTGCTAGCCAGGAGGGGACCCTGAATACAGATTATACAAAGGTTATATACTTTTTAGCAAAGCACGTTGCCCTCGTTGCCCTCGTGCATCGGAAACCTTAGCCAATAAACAAACCCTTTTCTTATCTACCACCTATCCCTGCTTGGTGCATTCCTCGTGCTATACCAGCATGTTAATTACACAGTATGGTCCTAAAGCCATGCATCAGCAACTTTTATTATCAGGTTGGGAGGCCTCACATCAAAGGCCAGGAGATAGGGAGTTAGGGACTGACAAAAAAACAGATACCAGGAGTCAAGGCAGGCTGGAGACAAGGAGGAGGATTTTTACAGGAATGCAGGAGACACACTCCTCCTGGTGCATGATGTGCTTGCTTTTAGACAATGGTGGGCCCCAAAGCAAAATGGGGTCACATGTGCTAACTTTTCCTTAACAACAGTCACACCCTGAATTAAAACTCACTGGCTAAGCAGGGGGCAGAGATGCCAAAGCCCAGTGAAAATCAGAGGGGGTGGGGACAGGTGTTCCTGCCTGATGCTGTGAATTCCCCTTCGAGAGCCCTAGGTACCATTTCACCCTCCCCTCCCCTTTCCTGTGTTGAAAGCCAGAGCTGATTAGACTCCATGGAGAGCCCTTGTTTCAGTTCAGTGGTTGCAAGAGCTGAAACCATTGATGAGCAGGCCTGGGGCCAAGTCGCAGACCTGGTGTGGGGACAGGGCTGCAGGGAACAGCCTGGAGACGCAGCAGGAGACACGGCCTGCTGGAGCCCCTGGGCAGGTCGGGGAACCTCAGAAGGCGCCATTGCGGAAGTGGCAGTGGGTGGCCAGCAGCAGCCGTGGTAACCCCAGTGGAGCTGAGCGGTGGCAGAGGGAACAGCAGCAGAGAAACCAGCAGAACCCGCGGCAGAGGCATCAGCCAGCGGGGCAGAGACAGCAGCCGCCGCGAGCCAGTTCCAGAGGCAGGAGTGGCAGCAGAGGCGTTGCTCGATGTCCCTCACCCTTTTTCAGGGATGGGAGGCAGTGAGCAGCCAGGGGCCTAGGTGCCGACTTCCCCTCTGGCCGGTGGGTGCTCGACCCCCTGCTCCACCCCAGGCCTCGCCCCCACTCCACCCCTTCCCCCAAACCCCTACCCCACCTCTTCCCACCCCTGCTCCACCCCCCCATTCCACCCCTGCCCCAAGTCCCCATCCCTGCTCCGCCCCCGCCCCACCTCATTCCACTCCCTTCCCGAAGACCCCGTCCCCACCTCGCCTTTTCCCCGCCTCCTCCCCCAAGCGTGCCGCATCCCCGCTCCTCCCCCTTCTTCCTAGAGAATTCTGAGTGCCGTGAAACAGCTGTTTTGCAGCAGGCACTGGGAGGGAGGGGGAAGAGTTGGTCAGCGAGGCCATCAATGGGTGAGATGCGCTGGTGGGAGGGGGAAGCTTGGCTGTGGGTGCGTACAGAGCACCCACAAACTTTTCCCCATGGGTGCTCCGGGGCTGTCGGCACCTATGGCCAGTGGTGACAGCGACAGCAGCAGCAGCAAGCCAGTTGCAGAGGTGGAAGCAGCAGCGGACGTGTTGCTCAATGCCCCCCACACCCCACACACACCTTTCGGGGTGGGAGGTGAATCCATGTGAGGGCACCTCTGAACTCTGGGTCTTGGCTGATTAAGAACAACCACCTGTGAGTGGGCTGCAGCGGCGGGAGAGGGGAGTGGCATGTTACAGGTCATTCACTCATTGGATTTTCACACAGCAAGGTGGGAAACTGAGGCAAAGGACACTGCTCAATGTACTGTGGGGTGGGGGTTTGCTTAGGGTAACATGCTTTCGAATCATGGCTGTGGTGTTTCCCCAAAACAATGCTGGGTTCCCTTTGCCTTGTAATAAAAGTTTTCTTTTGTTACACTCAGGGTGGGTGAGTGGGAAGTTTTGTCTCTTATCCTGTGTCTACACTAGCACTTTTGTAGGTAAAACTTTTGTCAGTCAGGGAATGAAGAAAGCAGGCCCCCAACTGACAAAAGTTTCACTGACAAAAGCACCGGTGTGGACAGTGCTATGCTGGCGGGAGACACTCTCCCACCGACATAGCTACTGCCGCTCGTTGGGGGGGGTTAAATTATGCTGGTGGGAGGTCGGCATAGAGCGGCTACACGGGAGAGCCCATTGCAGGGCAGCTGCAGGGGTACGGCTGTGCCGCTATAATCCTTAAAGGGGCCATTGTAGAGCCTTAAAAAGGCTCAGGAGTTAAATTTGCCCAGATTATTGAGTGGGTTCTTCTTAAGTGTTTTCTGTTTTGTATTGCTAAGAGGAACCCCTGACATTGAACCCAGTCCTTGGTGCTGCCGACTCCACCTGGCACAAGGGTGAGAGATCGATAGATCCAGAGATAGTTTCAACACCACGGAAAAGGCTGCATTCGCGAAATAGAAACACTTACTAACTTCTCTTTGAAGATCATCTAGGACAGGGGTTCTCAAACTGGAGGTCGGGACCCGTCAGAGAGTCACGAGGTTTTTACATGGGGGGGGGGGGTCATAATCTGTCAACCTCCACCCCAAACCCCCCTTTACCTCAATCATTTATAATGTTGTTAAATATATAAAAAAATGTTTTTAATTTATTAGGGGGGGACGCACTCAGAGACTTGCTATGTGAAAGGGGTCACCAGTAAAAAACTTTGAGAGCCACTGATCTAGGTAACACAGAATCAGAAACAAATAAACACCCATGGAATCAACTGCAGCCTCCCATCATGCAGCCTGTTCCTCTCAAACCCATTGATCCAGGCAATGGGCAGGGAAACTACTCAGATCTGGGGAGAAGAGTCTCTTTCCAACCCACAGGCAGGGCACGGAGCACCTGCGAAGCCCCATAGGGTGTGGCTACACAGCAGCTGAATACCCCCAATTGACCCATGGCAGCTAACTAGGCTCACAAGACATGGGCTGGGGGCCTGTAAAATTGGGGTGTGGACATTTGGGCTCATTTTGTGTCTACACTAGAGTAAAGTATTAAAAAATAACTGATTATCTGCATGGATTTACAGTTCTGAAAGTTTTGAATTCCCAAGGGAATTAGGGCCAGATTTTTAAAGGTATTTAGGTTTCTAACTCCCACTGATTTCAATTGGCATTAGGTGTCCAAATACCTTTAAAAAGCTACCCTTAGAGTCCATTCCCGTTTCCTTGCATATTACATGTTCCCATTCACTTTGCTGGGAGCTTTAGGTGTGCACGGAATGTAATATTGGGCCCTAAAATTATCAACATTATTCTTCTAGTGATGTGACTTGTGCATTTAGTGTTGGATCCTACACTCGTTGAAATCAAAGGCACAGCTCTAACTGATGTTCTTGGTGCAGCATCAGGGCATTCATGTTTTTCTCATTTAAAAAATAAAACATGAGGAGACAAATTTGTACGACTTTTTTTGTTGGAGAAAAGGGCACAACACTTACTGATTTCTGTATCACGTTTCCGTAAAAAAAAAATATATATATAAATTATTGTTAGGAGCATTTTTCTCATGGATATACGGTTGTCTGAGTTTTGTGAAAGTTGAACATCGTGCCTCACTTTTCATATTACCAGTTGGGGTGAAATTGATCAGGCTTAATCTCATCCTAGTTTCCTTTTAACATTAAATGAAAAAATGAACAACTCCTCCTCCAATATAATTACACACAAGATCCACATTGGACCCAATTATTTACTTGTCAGATGAGGCAAGAGGACATTTGAGGGCACAGAGTCTTTCTGGTCCCCCATGTCATGGTGCCTCCAGCACCATGTGGATTTCACCCTCAGAGAAGATACATTTCAAAGAACATTTTCTTTCTGATTTCCTCTTACCCACATACTGAATAATTATCAAAATATTATCCCTGATATTTCATGTGATTTTCAAATTGATCTCTGTTTAATAATTATCATCATAAATAATAAACAGCAAACAACTTAATGGAAAAGGTTCTATGTGGAGAAAAATTGAACTTACTGATTTCTCCAAGATGTTTCCCTGAAGAAATGAAATAAAGCAAACAGATGTAAATACAAGTTATTTAAGAAGATTTCCAGTTAATGGGGATTTCAAGGAGTGTTTTCATGATATGAACGCCTGGCCCCTAAACACCAAACATTTCATTCATGTTTTACTAACCATGTGGCCACACTAGAGTTCAGTGTCCAACAGTAACTGACTATTTTCAAGGATTTACAATTCTGAAAGGTTTGAATTTCTTATGGAATTAGGGTCTGATTTTTCAAGGCATTGAGAAGCCTATCTCTCATTGATTTCAGTGAGAGTTAACTGACCAAATACCTTTAAAAATCTAGCCATTAGAGCCCAATCCTGCTTCCTTGTATTCTCTCTCACATTCCCATTGGCTGTGCTGGGAGCTCTGCGGATGCAGACTGGAATTTCTGGCCCTCAAATTATCACCATTATTTTTTAACGATATGACTTGTGCTTTCAGTGCTTAATCCTCCACTCATTGAAGTCAATGGCAAAGATCTAACTGATGTTAGTGACGCAGTATCTGGGCTTTCATCTTTTTCTGGTTAAAAAAACTCCACCCCAAAAATTCACAGATAAACAAAGAAATACCCTTATGAAGAGACAAATTTGGACAAAAGTTTTACTTGTTGGAGGAAAGAGCACAACATTTACAGATTTCTACACCCCGTTCCATTAAAAATAAACAGAAATAAATATAAATTATTAGGAGCATTTTTGCCTTGGTTATACAGTTGTCTGCATTTCGTGAAAGTTGCACAGTGATTATACAATTCATGAGCCTTTGAGGGGTTTCATGTTCTCTACACCAGGAGAAAAAGGTTTCCCTTCTCCATCTCTGACTTCTTGTTTCTCACCATAGTCAGAACTCAGGTTAAGGCTCGGAGCTCATGTCTATTCAGAACCCTCTTTTCTACTGTGTATATTTTTTTAATATTATCTATTGGGATGAAATTTGCCAGGCTTTGTCTCATTCCAATTTCTTTTTAACAGTAAATGAAATCACAGACAACTGCTCCCAAAATAAAACAACACACAATCTTTATGGGGACCCAACTCTGTACAAAATATTTACTTATCAGAGGAGGGAAAAAGACATTAACTAATTCCCAAAGTCCATGGGGACTGAGGAGGAATAACTGCACAGTTGGGTGGAAAGTGGGCAGAAAAGAGTGAGGAGTGGAGAAGGTTTTGGATCAATCTTCCCCAAGTGCTCCATTCAGCTTAACTGAGGCAGTTCTGGGGGAGAAATATTCTGTGCCTGTAAAGGGCTGATGAAGATCACTGCCCCCTAGAGCAAATGGGAATCTTAGTAACATTTTCTTCCCTGTGCTGCTGAGGGAAGCACAGGGTAGGTCCGTGCTTCCCCTGCTTGGCCCAGTGTAAAATTTCATTCTTCCCTTTTTCCATTTATTAGAAGAAAATTTCTTGTTAATTTCACTAAATTTTCCCCTGTGACATTTACCTTTTATTTTAAATAGATAAACAGTGAGGCCAATGAAACCAAACAAAACCAGGAGAATCACACTCAGAGCCACCATCCATGGATTCACCCTCGGGAAAAAGGAATCTGAAAAATACACCCCACCAGGATTTGCATTAGTTTGGAAGCAGGGACAAAACTAATGTTTTTCCTATTGCACGTAAATACATAAATAGTCCCCAGCAGGACGTATGTGAGATAAGAGTGAAAACATGACCCCCCAATGCTGCATAAAAGACCAAGACCTGATTTTAAAAATTACTCCAACCAACACAGCTTTAGCACTGATTAACCAGTGAATGAACAGGCCTGGTTTGATTCATGCTATTCAGAGCTTTATTGAGTTCAGGGGCAAATTCTCTGCTCACAAAACTGCATTGACTTCAGTGGAATTATGCCAGCAAACAATTTTTTTGTTTATTGGAATTATTTGGAATTATGCCAGCAACATTCAGAAATTGCAGAAGTCATTAGAATATTTTGGTGCATCACTAATCATTTCCCCAATTATTTCAATGAATCATAATTGCAATTAAACGAAACATTAAGTGCTACAAATTGATTCATCTTCTTTTGCTGTTCTTGTGTTTACAGCATTTACATCATCTAGCCAGGGTGGGCATTTCAAACATGCCTAAGGCCTTCTCCACACAGGGTTTGTGCACTGGTTTCGTGAAATTGGTATAACTCATTCAGTCATTCTTACATTGGTTCCACAGCTGACCATGTAAGAGGATTGCCCCAATTTAACTAAACTGATTTACAATTTAAGGTTTTGTCAATCAGCTTAATAGTGTCCTTTATCCATTTAGTATAAATCAGTAAGGAACTGACTTACGCTAAATATGTAGGACATTCAATCTGAAATAAGAGCATTCAAACAAGGGGTTTCATCAATAACTCAGGAGATAATCAGGGCAGCTTTTGTGTGTAGACAAAGGCAAAGTGAGTTATGAGCACAAGTCCCACTGAATGTCAACAGAAACAAGCCCACATCATTTGGTGGCATTTCACTTATAGAAAAGGTAGCAAACAAACCATAGTATAAAAATTGCTACATTCAAAAAAATCACTGAGGGGAAGTTAAGTTTTTAGGAACAAACTCTTTCAAGGTTTGGTGAATATTTCTTCTCAAAAATCAGTCTCTCTCTCTTTTTTTTTAAAGAAAGAGTTTCAGGAGTATCAGAGTTAAGATTAAATTTACATGAAATCCAAAACTCTGATAACTCTGAATGTGCAAAATTAAGGCAATCAGATTGCCCGAGTTGTGACCCTGTTAAGGTTCCAGTTTCTGAACTTCTTTGTTTTTAGGTAGGTTGTAAAATATGCACCACACATGCTTCAGTTCTTTGTTTCCTATGTTTTGTTTTGTTTCTGATGGAGGTGATTTCAGTGTGTGGGTTTAGCTGGTAACTGACCTGCTATATAAACCGTTGATTCCTTTTCTTGATTGAGAACGGTGTTCCTGATCAAACAGGACAGGTTCTGGTTTGAACGTTCTTTTATAATAACAGAATTTTCTGTTTCAAACAGGCCACTATCCCCGAGGGATTTTGCTTCAGAGAGCGATGGTAATTCTTGCCCACTGAGATCTCGCCATAGAACCTTGGGCTCTGGATACCAACCAGCCGATTGACAAACCATCCGGATCCCTCCATCCTGCTGACTCTCCACAGAGATGAGAGGATTGGAGCCCAAACCTAGAGGAAAATTACATAAATGTGTGATAAACCAATGGGGTAACTTAAAAGTTAAAAGGATGAGTGATACATTGTGGATCTATTACTCCCACTCGAGATCACTTGCTCATACAGAAGGGATAAATGAACACTGGAATTTCAGAATTCCCAATACGCATGGACACAGGAAAACATGTGAACAAATATTTAAAATAATTTCACTGAATAAGTGAGAGATATTGTCCTCTCCACCCAAGAGCAAGGGAGCATTGAACACCTTTGGAAATCTGGCCACTTCATTTAAATACCTAATGGGATATGAATTTTTCAAAAAGACATTTTTTAGTATATTGGACAAACATTTTGTTTGTTCTCTTTTAAAATAAATAAATAAATCTAACTGGCTCCATGGTTCCTGTGTCAGAGCAGCAGGGGACAAACGCTCGGCCTCATCTGCTAGCGGTAAATACATAACTTCTTCCTCCCCCCCCACCTTTATGAGGCCTCAGCCAATGAGAAAGCTGCAACTGATTTTGACTACACCCCTAAATAACCACCACTAGTGACCATGTCAGAAGGCTGAATTGCCGCCGCCAGGGGAACAGCGCCGCCCCTTTCTAACAGCCGCCCCAGGCACCTGCCTGGAACCCTGGTGCCTGGAGCCGGCCCTGCCCTTACCCCGCCGCTCAGAGCAGCGTGTCTGGGAATCGCGCGGCCCGATTGGAGCGCGCCGCCCCGCCTCCCAGAGCTGCCTGCGTGGCGGCGTGGCTCCAAGGGAGGGGGGGACAGCAGGGGAGGGGGGAGGGGCTAGCCTCCCCAGCTGGGAGCTCAGGGGCCGGGCAGGACGGGCCTGCAGGCCGGATGTGGCCCGTGGGCCGTAGTTTGCCCACCCCTGGTGTAGACACTACTTACACCAAGGGCAGGACTTCTCCTGGTGTCCCAGGTAATACCCCTCTCTGAGAGGCAGGAGCTAGGTTGACAGAAGAATTCTTCTGTTGACCCAGCCCTACCTGCATGGGGACTTACGTCAGCTTAGTTTTGTTGCTCATGGGGCGTGTATTTTTCAAATCCCTGAGTGACATAGTTAAGCTGACCTACTTTTCTAGTGTAAACCACGCCTATATTTGCCTAGAAAAGTCTTTTCCCTCCTTTCTCTCCCTCCTTTTGAAGTCAATCAAGAACATCTTTTGGGCAAGGAAGTCTCTTGACCATTCTGAAAATGTCTTTAATAAAATGTTGGGAAAGTTTTCAGCATATTTTCCAAAGTGTCTGAATGTGGTCGTGTGCTGAAATCTAGTCACACTGTGTTACTCAGAAATAATTCAGAAGTTGCTAGTCACAGTTGTTGCAGTAGAAAAGAACAAAAACTGCAGCCCAGGCTGAGATAATACAGACAAGAGCTGCTGACCTGCTACCTTCAGTTCCAATATGGCTTCTTCATCAAAAGGACCATCTTGAACAAAACAGTTGTATTGTCCTTCATCTGAGCTTCTGATATTAACAATCTGCAAGGAAACATTCCCATCCGTGATGCCAGTTTTCAAAAGCTCCGTCCTTCCACGATATTCTGGCATCTGCTGCCCATATTGATCCTTCCCATGCTGGAACAGGTGCACAACTGAAGTGAACTTAGATCGGAACCATCTCACCTCCATGTTCTCAGCGCTCATCCTGGGGGACAGGTGACAGGGTAACACAATGGCCTCACCCACAATGGCAGTGACAGGGTGACCAGGACCGGTCACGCTGAATTGGGCTGTGAAATACACCAAAGCAAAAAGAGAACAAGCTTAGACGGGGAAAAAAATATATTAATGACTGATTCAATAGGTTCAAACTTTCCAAAATTCAGCGTGAGGCAGACACCTGGCATGCAGATTTTCAACCTGAATATTTGAACTTTGACAAAGTTACAAGCAAACGAAAAAGGCATTTATAGTAGAAAGTGG